ACCACGCACAACTTCCTTACCCAGCGCGACAAATTTGGACAATAAAAATAGTTTGTTTTAACGGAGATCACAACATTAACTGCCATGACTATAACAGAATAACTGCCGCTTAAGTCACTCAACAGATTTTACGGCAACATTAAATGACACCGAACTAATGAGATAGAATTCCTTAACAAACAATAAAATGTATTTGTGGTTTAGTTTAACCTAAATGGTAAATATATGTAAAGTACCTGAATGGTTCAACAGTCTCACTAAATCTTATTAATTCTAAAATCCTTAAAAACACAAAAGGATATAATTTTGTTCTTTAATTTCAAATCATATTGTGATGGCATTCTAAGTCCAGGTAAATTTAAGATAAATTTAGCCAAATTATACCTGGATAAACAGTGAGAAATAAAGGTGTTCATGGTTTATAATTAAAATAAGACAAATTGTCAATCTTCCAGAGCCACAGCTAAACACCTCAGTTTAATATTGACCTCCACCTCACACTGGCTCACACTACAACAGAGTAACACCTGTGATGAAACAACATTATCAGGGAAAAGATCAAAATATTTACATACACTAGACCACTTTAGATAGATAGATATATATTTATTATGTAAACTTATCATATAAGTTTACAATTGGTTCAACCTGCATATAGACAATGTAGGTATACAGTTCAGCATGTATATAGCCAATACAGGTATAGAGTTCACCATGTATATAGACAATACTGTATAGGTATACAGTTCAGTATACTGTATTGTATTAGCCTCTGTCACATTAATATTATATAAATATGAGCTAAGAGCATATATTCATTATATACATTCTATCACCCAGACTATTGAGCATACAGCTACATAAACATGTGTTCTGTCACACCTCCTAGGGTGCACAGCCCATAAACATTTGATCTGTCACACCTCCTAGGGTGTACAGCCCATAAACATGTGTTCTGTCACACCTCCTAGGGTGTACAGCCCATAAACATGTGTTCTGTCACACCTCCTAGGGTGTACAGCCCATAAGGATTTGTTCTGTCACACCTCCTAGGGTGTACAGCCCATAAACATTTGTTCTGTCACACCTCCTAGGGTGTACAGCCCGTAAACATGTGTTCTGTCACACCTCCTAGTGTGTACAGCCCATAAACATGTGTTCTGTCACACCTCCTAGGGTGTACAGCCCATAAACATTTGTTCTGTCACACCTCCTAGGGTGTACAGCCCATAAACATGTGTTCTGTCACACCTCCTAGTGTGTACAGCCCATAAACATGTGTTCTGTCACACCTCCTAGGGTGTACAGCCCATAAACATTTGTTCTGTCACACCTCCTAGGGTGTACAGCCCATAAACATTTGTTCTGTCACACCTCCTAGGGTGTACAGCCCATAAACATTTGATCTGTCACTCCTCCTAGGGTGTACAGCCCATAAACATTTGTTCTGTCACACCTCCTAGGGTGTACAGCCCATAAACATTTCTTCTGTCACACCTCCTAGGGTGTACAGCCCATAAACATTTCTTCTGTCACACCTTTTAGGGTGTACAACCCATAAACATTTGATCTGTCACACCTCCTAGGGTGTACAGCCCATAAACATTTCTTCTGTCACACCTCCTAGGGTGTACAGCCCATTAAACTACAGACTCAACCCTCAGTGTGTGGTAGGCTGTTTAGTTAATGACCTGTTGAAGTGTGGTTACTGTCCAGTCACCAGACTCAAGAGAGTTCAGCCCAGTTCACAGCCGGACACGATGCCCTAAAGTGAGACCAGCTCTCCGGGCTGTACCTCTCTCTAATTATATCAGCTAATTACAAGCCAATAGCTAATGCTCATTAGTCTGTCAATACCAAATAATTGTACAGACATTACTACCCAATATAACTATTAAATCAGCATGTGTGATTACATTAAACCAAGGAACAACGAGTGAAGAGAACATTATCTGTGTGTCTTGCTTAACTTACAAGCTAAGATAATTACAAGTACAACTCAGGACAGCTGTGACAATTTAAACTATCTACGACTGTATCAAAGGTAACATGACGTGAGATGACCCTATATCTCACTCAGCTGTATCAAAGGTGACATGACGTGAGATGACCCTATATCTCACTCAGCTGTATCAAAGGTGACATGACGTGAGATGACCCTATATCTCACTCAGCTGCATCAAAGGTGACATGACGTGAGATGACCCTATATCTCACTCAGCTGCATCAAAGGTGACATGACGTGAGATGACTCTATATCTCACTCGGCTGCATCAAAGGTACCAGCGACTAACCTACACTCGTTCAGGCAAGTGTTAACAAGTGAGATAGTTTGGTATCTTACCACAGCTAAAACAATATAGACAACCCAGGTATACAGTTCACCATGTATATAGACAACACAGGTATACAGTTTAGTATATATTGTGGAAAATGTATAATTCCATGTAATAATTAAGAATTGTAAATAAAACCTGGTAACAATCTGCCCAGTGGAGCCTTGAAGCAACTATCCTCATTTACTCAGTGAGCATTATAGAGGAACAGTCCTTTGTGTTCCTGACCTGCATCTGATAATGGCTGAACCACATCATCAAGGTCAAAAGTAAGTAATAATAAATGGCCGTTATAAACCATCAAGTGCCGTTGAGGACGTCTGTGTTGTGGCCTTCTGAATCCTGCCAAGTTAAACCTTTTAAGGAAGGTCTTCACTCCCTGCAGTAGTTTGTAACAGGTGGGTCAGACCTGCACAGTACCACACCACCGACTTAATGCCAAAATATTTATCATTGTCACCTCAGAGATCCACTACATCCTCACACAATAATAATTCTTGGCTTTTACACAATAAAGGCCAGAGGAGAGATGGAGTGGCAAGAGAAGGCCGCCTTATAGTTGTGTGTGATCAAGACTCATTCATCAGTGGCATAAATGTTAAAGCTCACTATGGCCGAGTCAACATTAAATTAGGATTCACGTAGCGACGTCGTAATTACCAGTAATGAGCCGTTTGGGCAGTTGGTCTGTTAAAACTGTACAGTATGGGAGGAAACTGTAGTATTGTACCTGCAGAAAACCTGCCATGTTTGTTAGTGAGGGTAACATCTGTCCCAGGCTGGGGAATGAACCCAGGACACTGTAATGCACCACTAAAGATATACAACTCCTGATGTATCTGAGAGACAATCACCAGTGTTTTGGTATAAAAACAATAAACAATATTTTCATGGTTCTATATCACTAAAGTGGTCTAGTTGCTGAATATATTGGACATTTTCCTGCAAATATTTGTATTCCAGGTATTAATCACATGCATTGTCAACTGTCTATCATGGTTAGCACAGTAGTTCTGTCTACAGTACATATAAGACAGACATACTGTAGACAGATGGGCAGAAAGATGTAGAGAGATAGACTGAGAGATATACCATATTTCCCACCATATAAGACATATTTTTTATTACGTCGGCAGGAGTCAGCCCACGAGGGGGGAGCACACCCGTCTCCTACATCTTTAGTGAAACAATTGTCAAATGGCAAGGAAGTATTTTTTCCTCCCTTTTATTTATTATTATTATTTTTATTCGTTCCTCACATTTACGGAGGAATACATTAGACTGCAGAGGGATAAAGACGCCACACTTATCCACACATTCTTGAAATTCAATGACGTGGTTGTGTGAAATGGTTTGCAGAGTAAAATCCGTGAACTTTTCTGGGACTATACAGTAAACCTTTCATGCTATATCAGTGGTTGCCTTTAATATGGTGAGAAATACAGTACAGTAGTATAGATAGATAGACTGAAAGTTAGACAGAAAGATAAAACAGAATCATCATCACCATCCAAATCATACAGCCATTTTCCACACCATCTCTTGCAGTCTGTCTTGTCAGGTTCTAAGATCATTTCTTACAATCTCTCCCCATGTCATTCTTGGCCTACCTACCACTGGCTCTCCTCCTAACCACATTTATTGTAGAATCATGCACCACATAACCCAGCTGGTCTCATCCATTCTCTCCACAGGCCTGATCTCAGTCTACTTTTTCGTAAATCTTGGCCGATACTCTCAATACCCAGCCGTCCTCTTACCTCTGAGCGGGGATTCTTATCTTTCAGCGTCACAGTACACATCCACCTCACCATTCTCATTTCAGCTCACTCAAGACTGCATATGTCACCCTCTTTAACTGCCCATATTTTCACGGATAAATAACACCACACTTCTCACACTAGTTGTATACATTTTTCCTTTCATGTGATGGGAAAGTCCTCTTGCTGACAATAAAGACAACAGTTCCCTAATCTTCCTCCAGCCATTTCTGACTCTTAACAATGAACAGAACCCTCTCCAGCACTGATCTTGTCACCCAGGCAGCAGAACTCATCCATGACTCACAACACAGCAGCCTTCAGCACCCCCTCCAGCACTGATCACGTTACCCAGGCAGCAGAACTCATCCATCATCCATGACTCACAATACAGCAGCCTTCAGCACCCCCTCCAGCACTGATCACGTCATCCAGGCAGCAGAACTCATCCACACAGTCCAGGGATAATCTTCAGTGTTGAGTTTCTTCAATCTTGCTGTGGACACATATTTACCTGCACATACATAACACTTACAGTCAGCAACATCCAGCAGTCTGCCATCCACTCCACTGTACCTCTTGTGTACACACCTTCCTCACTCACTGTACCTCTTGTGTACCCACCTTCCTCACTCACTGTACCTCTTGTGTACCCACCTTCCTCACTCACTGTACCTCTTGTGTACCCACCTTCCTCACTCACTGTCAATATCTTTCTTACTGATAGCATAGATATAGATAAGACAGATACTTGTATATATAAAGACAGTCTGACAGATGATATAGATACCAAACAGACAGACTGACTGACTGACATACAGGTATTGAAAGACTGATAGAAAGATATAGAAACACAGAGGATAAAGATAGACAGTTAGACAGACATAAAGACATACTTGTAGCAGCAGAGTCTCCATGATCCAGTTGTTAATTTCTCAAGGGTTTAGTCGTTAACTCATCTGTAACAAACAAACAAAAACATTTAATATACACAACAGTTTATGATAAAAATATGTCCATAAATTAATAGTTATTCAGTACAGCAGTTGTTTGTTTTCCAATGTCGTATGTTTCCATTAGAACAGTATTGCTCACACCACATTCTAGTTTCTTAATTATTTCAAGTTTGTCACTCAATTTCAACGAGTTATTCTTTCTCTTCACACAACGAAGTTTATCACATATAGGAGCCATTATCATGGGCTTGTACAGTACTCTGTAAATGGAAAGAGTAAGACTCAAAATAATGTTATGTTACACCGGTATTCTATTCATACTGTGCTTGATATAATGCATTCACGGAAATGTAATATTTTTGCTGAAATGGCGTACGTATCACAGTGGAAAGTTGGATAAAATCGTGACGAAAACAATGACTTAATCTTTCTTTCGTTCAAAAGATGTTACCGTAATCCCTTTTCGAATGGTTTTCAGTTAAAAAACTGTTGTATTACAATAATATTCTATCCTAATTGACTTGAATAAATACTACGATACCATATTTCTGAATATTTTCATTAAAATCCATCAAAATCATTTTCCTTGTCATCGTCTGCAGCACCAAACAGCTTCTCCCAGTCCTCTCCTTGAACGGGGCTAGAGGGTACGTGTTTTTCAAATCGTTTTCAGTTAAAAAAACTATTACATCACACGTATATTTTACTTAAACTGCGCCCGAATGAATATATTCTTGGAAATAAATAGTTTTGCTGAAACGTGATGTATTTCAATGTAAATTAGGATAAAAATACATGACGAAAACAAAAGACTTTTCCTAAGCTTCCGATGTTCTTAAGATGTTACTCGTTTTTTTAATAGTTTTCGGATGAAATTCTGTTATATTACAATGATATTCTATTCATACTGTGCTTGATATAATACATTCACGAAATGTAATATTTTTGCTAAAATTACGTACAGATTACAGTGGAAAGTGGGATAAAATCGTGACGAACAACCTACCACAGGTAAACTTCCCACACAATGCCCCATCAGCAGACATTTTCAAAATAATAACCAAAAACAGTCTAGGAATCACCAGCAAAGAAAGGGAAGATAAAATAACACAACAAGAAAATTGCACAGGAGCAGAGACTGCAATGGATACAACCCACTCCCAAATAACCACAAGACCCTAGAGAACACAACCAACCAATCAGCTAAGTCAACACCAGCAAGACCACGAAGAGAGAACCCCACCGGTCAACGGCCAGCCGACGTCGGAGACAGCATAGGAATCAGGTTTTACTCGGTCAACTCCCTGTAACAAATGAGAGATTGTTAAAAGATATTAAAGACGGAACAACCAAATACACATATGAAGAGGGACTCATAGAAACACTAATACATGGAGGAAAAATAAGCAGCAAATACAACAAAATCGAGAACGTAGACTTATCAAAATTCAAGAAAATAAGAACAGGACTGAAGGAGAAGAGAGAGAGACTCTCCCCCGGAGAGACCCGAGCAACCGAACAACACGCGTCAAGTTCATGCGACCCACGATTACGCAAAACAGAACACAGAAAATAATACAACACAACGTCCTGGCCTGGACACATACAAGAAAAACAGAACTGACAAACATATACAACAGCATAGACCCAGACATAATTCTCATAAACTCACACCGACGGAAAAACAGTGACAAAATAAAACTCTTCAACTATTACACACATCAACTGAACATACACTCATAGACAATTTCCAAACCTACTTCTTAGCAGTCGAAATCAACACAACTAAAGGCCCAATAACAATCGGAACAACATATTTATCTTGCCGACGACAAACATTCCCGACCGGCGACTTACTAAAACTAATGAGACGTAACACACCAGCATACTGTATTTTATAGGAAACTTAAATGCGACACACACCATACTCGGACACAGAACCAGAAACCCAAGGGGGAAGATTATACACGACCTATTAGAAAACGGCAACATCACACACCTGGGCCCAGATTTCGAAACCTACATAAGCTGCAGGAAGCACCGGGAAGCCGGATATGGTTTTGACCAATAGACACCACCACTTGAATTCACACATGAAACCTGGACCAACCACCACTAGCGATCACCTGCCCATAATTATCACTCTATCAACATCACCAATACAAATCCCCTCCATCCCTAGATTCTCTTTCAACAGAGCAAACTGGGAGGGTTTTAAGGCAGAACTCAACACAAACGAACAAATACATCAACATAAAAACACAGCAGACATTGATATAGCCCTGGAAACATGGTACTCTAAAGTCACCACAGCCATGGAAAATAACACCCCCAAAACAACTTACCGCACACTACCCCACGCACAATTAACACACGAACAGAAGATAATCCAGACAAGACTGAATAATATACTAGAACATACAAATACTCACGGCCGGAACCAAGAAACAATAACTCTCTTCAGAAACCTAAAGGAAGAGCTGAAAGAAATATGTAAACAATCACACAACGACAAATGGAACCAGATAATCACAAACACAGAGGCCGATTATCACAACCCAAATTTTTCTGGAGTAAAATAAAAAACTAATGGGCACTAACTCCATAGATAACAGCCATCTTATAGACGACAACGGCGTAAAAGCTAGAGAATCTGTAGAAAAAGAACTGATCTTCAGAAATTTCTGGAGCAACATATATAAAATGACAGAAGAAGAAACAGAAACTATTGTAGAGTAACAGAACAGATGGTAACAACACACCTTACACTAAACACACAGAAATGGCAACCACCAAGAACAATAGACCTCAACATACTAATCAGTGCAGACACATTAACCTTGCCAATCACCACAAAGACATAAGAAACATAATAACCACTTTTAAAAATAAAGCACCTGGACTAAGTCAGACAAACAAAACAGTCCTTCAAAACATAACCACAGATCTTTAACGCTTCACTAGCAACAGGACACTTCCCCAGACCTATATCCTTATTAGAAACACCAGGGAAAATACTAGAAAAAATAGTCAACAGCAGACTCAGAAACTATCTAGAACAGGAAAACAAATATAACCCCAGACAACACGGATTCCGAAAGAACCGAGGCACAAACACGGCTATTGCATTAATTTGAGAATCAATAGCTAATGCCGTCAGCAATAAAAACCAGTGCAATATTGTTCTCAGAGACGTATCAAAAACTTTTGATAAAATGTGGCTCTAATTCCACAGTGAATTTGATCGAGGGGGCTTAGTTGTTAAGTTGTGGCAGGAATGCTTTTAGGTCCTCATTACATGGCCAGAGACATAATACATCATCAACATATCTAAACCAGACTGCTGAAGGTGGTAAAATATTACTTAATAGTTTCTTTTCAACTGCCACAACTTAACAACTTAGCCCCCTTGCTCAAATTCACTGTGGAATTAGAGCATGACTGTAAATTGCCTTTACTAGACTGTCTGATCCACAGAATAGGTAACACCTTTAAGTTCAGTATTTATAGGAAACCTACTCATGTGTGTTCATACATTCATTATTATTCTGCCCACCATAATAGTCAAACAGTCAATATTTTCATCATTGTTTTTATGTGCTTTGAGAATTTGCAGCCCGGAATTTATTGATGAGGAATATAAATATATCTATAATATTGGCTTGAACCTTCAGTACCCTAGATCTTTCATAGACAAATGCCTTAACATTACTAAGAAATCTTTCTATAGAACCAATCCCAAGCCCACCCATGACCATAAGAATCTCTTAGTATTACCATTTCACAAAAATTTTTCTCAAATTCCTTTACAACTAAAAACCTGGAACGTCAATGTGGCATTTAAAAACTCATGCACTGTTAACAAATAAATAAATAAATATATATATATATATATATATATATATATATATATATATATATATATATATATATATATATATATATATATATATATATATATATATATATATATATATAATTTCATGTAGTTGCCTCTGAAGATGTCTTGAATAAAGACAAAAGCTAAGGTGCTCCGTTGTTTCCCTTTTCTCGTCTGATTTTATCAAGATATATGTATATACAGTCGGCCCTTCACATACGCGGGTTTAGCATTCACGGATTTGCAAATACGCGGATTGCCCCGCCGGAGGAATATTCTGTACATTGAATTAATTGAAGTACATTCAAATCGCGCGCCATTCAACTCGCACGCGGTACCGAACACGGGACACCGCCTGCTCCTGCAACCTCGCACACACACACACGCATAGCTCTCCCTCACTCAGTCAGTCTCGCTGTAACCACGCTTGTGTTGACATCAGCATTGCAGTTGCAAAAATATTACATTTCCGTGAATGTATTATATCAAGCACAGTATGAATAGAATATCACTAATATAAGAGTATTTTAACCGAAAACTACTAAAAAAACGAGTAACATATCTTGAACATCGGAAGGTTAGGTAAAGTCTTTTGTTTTCATGTAGTTTATCCTAATTTACATTGAAATGCATTACGTTTCAGCAAAACTACTATTTATTTCTGAGAATATGGAAATGTAATATTTTGCTGAAATGACGTACGTATTACAATGGAAAGTGACGAAAGCAATGACTCGCTTTCTTTCGTTCAAAAGATGTTACCGTAATCGCTTTTCGAATGGTTTTCAGTTAAAAAACTGTTGTATTCCAATAATATTCTATCCTAATTCACTTGTGATGCAACAGTTTTTTTAACTGAAAACCATTCGAAAAGCGATTACGGTAACATCTTTTGAACGAAAGAAAGCGAAAGTCATTGTTTTCGTCACTTTCCACTGTAATACGTACGTCATTTAGCAAAAATATTACATTTCCGTGAATGTAGTATATCAAGCACAGTATGAATATAATATCATTGTAATATAACAGTATTTTAACCGAAAACTATTAAAAAAAACGAGTAACATCTCTTGAACATTGGAAGGTTAGGTAAAGTTTTTAGTTTTCGTCATGTATTTTATCCTATTTTACATTGAAATACACCACGTTTCAGCAAAACTACTATTTATTTCTGAGAATATATTCATTCAGGCACAGTTTAGGTAAAATATACATGTGCTGTAACATTTTTTTAATTGAAAACGATTCGAAAAACACGTACCCTCTAGCCCTGTTCAAGGAGAAGACTGGGAGGAGCTGTTTGGTGCTTAAGACGATGACAAGGAAAATGATTTTGATGGATTTTAATGAAAATATTCAGAAATATGGTATTGTAGTATTTATTCAAGTGAATTAGGATAGAATATTATTGTAATACAACAGTAGTGACGATGTGGAGGAGGCGGAGGCATAGAGCGGGGACGAGCGGTGACTGGCGGCAGCAGGGACGAGTGGAGATGCCAGCCAGTACATTACGGGTGTACAGTATTAATTGATTTTATAGCTCTTTTTGCATTTTAATATTAAATACTGTACATTACGTTTCAACAAAACTACTATACTTGTTTCAAATTTAATTAACAAAGATTGATGTTTCAAATGTAATGAACAAAAATTGATGTACAGTATCTATAAATAAACTTTAAAAAAATGAATACTTTGTTTTACATCGTCCTGTGTATACCATACCATGCATTTGGCTACTTTGGGCTTCCTATGATGACGCAAGAGATCTGCCCTGGCAACTGTACCGACACTCACAGCTGGTGGTGCGTCGTTTCCATAGTTTACTGGTAGTTACTGGTAAATATTTTTCAACCTAACGAAACTATTACCCGTTTAGAGGTCGACCTCCAATTTTTTGCCAAATAATTTGGTCTTAAAAACTCGAACTACACACAGGTATATATGGTAAATAAGGACATGGGGGGCCAGGGGTTTTTCAGGGGGGCAAAAGTACACGGATTTTTAACATTCACAGGTATCTCTCAAACCTAACACCGAGCATTTGCATTCATCTACAATGCTTTTTTCCTTTTTAACCTCCTCACTACCCTTGTATTTGGAAACCACTTTTAATATTTTATTCGGCTAATGCCAGACAATTTTATTCAGCAGAGTGTGGACCCAGTGCACAAGTGGTTAAGGTGACACAATCAGTACAAACCTTCACACCAAGAATACCTTCCCATTATTACCAGGAACTATATAACACAACATAGAAAATATCAGCTGCTCATGAGGGTTGTTATAAGTTCCACTCCACTTGCTAAGTAAAAAGGGTGGTTGATAGATCTGTTAAGTACAACCATAGAGTGAAAAAATGTATATGCTACAATACAAAACTAACTGAACCAAAAAAGATAAAGTTAAAGTCTTAAATTATTTATGCCTTAACCACATGAAAAGGTTAAATAAATACACAGTAAACTTACTGCTCCACATGTAACAATGCGATTGGTGCTGGGAGCCCAGTCAATGCCTGTGACACGCAGATCATGACCCTGGAGTGTTTCCTGAAGCTTCCACTCTGATGCAGCTCTGCCATATATATTCACTTCATTGTTGTTGAGACTCAATGCCACTTCTGTAAGAAATACACACACATGCACTGAGGTTGCAAAACTAGAGAAACAAAACAAAACTACAGAGAAGCTAAGTAGCTAAATAAAATCTAAACCTAACAATGAAAAAAAAAAATAAAATAAAATTAACTCCACCTACTTTCTGGTACAAACTGGGAGAGATCAGAAGCTTTGAACATGTTATGACCAGAAGAGGAAACCAGTCCTGCTCAGGTATAAAAAAGAGGACTGAACCCCCCCCCAGTGATTATGCTGTATTATGACAGCTGTCTGGCTGAAAACTTAGGTAAAATTGCAGATTACAGCAACCAAAGAATAACCTAATCTAATCTTCCAGAATTCTGTGGTTGCATTTATTTTTTATTTTTATTTTTTATTTTTTTACGGGGAATAGGCCACCCAGCAACAGGTCATTGAACCACAATGGGGCCTAGGGGGCAAAAAAAATAAGAGTAAAAGAAATTGAATTGCCCACAGAGAAACTGTGGGCACCACGGGCAATACGAGCGTTACAAGTCCACGGCCTTGCCGGCAGTACACGGGATGCCAAATCCACCAAACATTGGCCATTAAAGTACCTGTAAAAAAGAGAGTGAAGCAACATTGAAGCAAAGAGAAAGGGATGAAAGATTATCAATTAAAGGAGGAGAGTCAATAAGATGAAATGCCTTTGATTCCACCTTATCTAACAGTTGGACAGAAGAAGAGCCACCCTCGATATGAGCACAGTACTCCAAGTTAGGACAAATGAATCTCTTATAAACTGAAGCAACTGCTCAGGAGTAAAGTAGCTACGGCATCTGTACAGCATTCCCAGCTTTCGGAAGGCAGTTTTAGCACTGTTGTGGATGTGTGGCTTCCATGACATATTATAGGTAATGGTGAGACCTAACATATCTATTTTAGAACTTAGCAGAATGATTGCATCCTGAAATGTGATTGGTGGGAGATCATCAAATATTACAAAAACTTCTTCTAGAAAAGTGATACCGATACAACTCAGTTTGAAAATTAGATGGCAATTTACCTGCCAGGCAAGTGCTATTTAACTTCATATAGGTCGGTACTCACGGCTGCGGTCCTCATTCCGGGCACGACAAGCGATGGGCACGAGGCCGAACCGGAACACTTCTGTCATGGCGTATCACTTGGAGCAGGTGTCTGTAACACTGTGTAAAATAAATGGTAAATTTTCACAAATGCACCGGTCTTTGTTCAGATATTAAAAATATGTTTTTTCAATGTTACTCGATGAGTTTCGAACAAATTTAATATTAATTTCAGCCGGAAATCAATAGTTCTTTGGGTAAATCACATAAATAAAAAACCAACAAACTAACAAAACCAAACCTAACCTTAACTAACCTAACACTATTTTTCCGACGAAAATCTGCAATTGACGTAAAACTCTCGCCCAATTATAAGTCTCCTATAGCCAATAAGAAACTCCCACACCACCCCCCACACATGCGCTGTAGATGCTTAAGAATCCAACACGGAGGTAAGGAGCACTGCGCGACGGGCGGTCAGACCTCCGTGAGACGTAAACAACAAATGACAACACTCGTGAATGACCAAATCTAATAATATTGAAAAATTAATATCTCGGTTATCCTTAATTTCCGGCGGAAATGTCACAAAAGAAAAATGTCTTAGATTGTCTAAACATTACGAAAAACATATTAATAACAGTGAGAGAAATACCAGTGCAAGATCGAAAATTCACTAAATAAATTATAAAACTTACACAAGTCATAAATAAAACTATATAGATATATCAGGTTTTAATAGGTTCTTGTAAATGTCACCTAGATTTTAAAATATATCATAATGGTAAGAACATATTGAAAAAATGAAAGAAATTGAACAACACCTGCTGGGTTTAGTCATCTCTTCCAAGAATACCTTTATACCCGTTAAATATAAGATTAACTTTAATTTCTTACCGTAAATAAAGTGGCAACCATCTGTATCCATTAACTAAAACAGTATCTACATGGATATTACAGTACAAATATAAATCTTTCACCAATTACATGACCAATGTATATAATTATTATCATAGATATACGAATTATTGGTTAAAGGCGATGAATCATTTACAGTAGGCGGGGCTGTCCCCTCACGTCTTCCGCCATAACTACGACCTACAATAACTTCTTTCATGCCATTAGGAAGTTAATTTGTTATATATTATCAAAATACATGGAACAAAAAAAAGAGTTCCTTCTACTTACCTAAATATTGAAGGATATTAGCGGACTCTGGTCAACATCCTCAAGTCCTGACTTGTGACCAAAACAGCTTGAGTCTCAACCTGTTGGCCTGACTTAAAGCACAAAGCAGGGAACTCCCAATTCAGGGATGGGACACACTTGTAGTCTTCTCTCAATTATTTACTCTAGAAATCACCCGAGAAGGAAGAGGCTGGGACCTAGATCAGACATAACTAGTTATTATACTTACAAAACAAGCATCAACTGTTGTCATATGGGTACCACACAGTAGTAGGAATTAAACAATACATAATAAACCCAACACAGGGGGTGGTGTAGACTCACTCCAGGGTGAATGTCTGGAGAGCAACGCTAGAATTACCCTTATTCTGGCTTACAAACTACCTCCACGAGATCATCACATTCTTCATATAACATTTATTATGCTCAATCTATCAAACACACTCTAACAGAGCAAAGAAATACGTGGGACATACCTGCTACTGGGCCCCGGGATGTAAACAACGCCATGGCGTCTCTCCCCCCCGGCTGGGATGCATATTCGTTCTAGCGCGGATTCACAAGACATAATTACGTTTTCCTCCTCGAAGCTTACAAAAATACATATCCATATCAATAATATTCTATATCACAAAATGGTTGTCTCTGGAGTTCCTCATACCACACACACTCCTCCATACAAATGTTTGCCGATGGCGCCAAGTTATTTCGGGAAATTAAGAACCGAGCATTTGCATTCATCTACAATGCTTTTTAACCTCCTCACTACCCTGTATTTGGAAACCACTTTTAATATTTTATTCAGCTAATGCCAGACAATTTTATTCAGCAGAGTGTGGACCCAGTGCACAAGTGGTTACTTTTACTTTTTTTTTTACTATTATCCTCTTCGCCACTGATCGGCTTGTTAGCCGCTTGGGCGATCGGTCACGTCTCTTTTCCTTTATATTCTTCAACAAAAGGTCGGCTCGCTAGCCGCCCGGGCGATCGGTCACGTCTCTGTCACGCACTGTTGGCAAATACTGGGCGTGCACCGGCTCCTGAATGTACCTGAACCCGCTCCAGTGTTGGTCAAGTCTTCTCTTGAAAGAGCTCACACTCGGTGCCGTCACAACACTCTCTGGTAGATTGTTCCAAGAGTTTACAACCCTTACTCCAAAAAAGTTTGCCCTCACGGTTTTCTGGACTTGCGGCTTCTTCAATCTTGAGCTGTGACCCCTTGTGGGGCGAGCGTCCGCCAGCTCCAAGTAAGGACACTCAACTGAGTAGTGCCCCCTGAGATGCTTATAAACCTCAACTAGGTCCCCCCTTGCCCGTCTGTAGTATAAGCTAGGCAAGTTCAGGCGCTCCAATCTCTCAGGGTAGCTGAGGTGCCGGAGTGCAGGCACCAGTTTGGTGGCCCTCCTTTGAAAATTTTCAGCCAACTGACAGTCCCTAGCATATCTCGAGGACCAGATGGGGTGACAGTACTCCAGATGGGGAAGCACTTCACTCCTGAAGATCGTCACGAGGGACGGACCGTCTAGATATCTGAACGACCTTCTTATAAGACCCAATAATTTATTTGCCTGATTTACCTTCTCACAATGGCCAGAGAACTTCAGCTCATTGTCAACATACACACCTAGGTCCTTCTCACACAGTCTCAACTAGTACATTTTCTTCATCCCGTTGGGACATATGGTGCGCCTCCTTACCGTTGGTACGCCCCAGGTGCATCCTCTTACACTTCGTGACATTGAATCTCAGCAGCCATTCCTTCGACCATTCCTGGAGCCCACAGAGGTCCTTCTGCAGCTCTTCACAGTCCGCTTGGTTCTTAATTTCCCGAAATAACTTGCCATCATCGGCAAGCATTTGTATGGAGGAGTGTACAACGTCAGGCATATCATTTATGAAACAAACAAACAACAGCGGGCCCAATACACTACCCTGCGGTACCCCACTTGTTACAGGTACAGATGACGATTTCGTGCCATTAATCACCACACATTGCTTGCGGTCATGTAGAAAGTCTTCTATCCACGCTAGGACATGTCCCCGAATTCCGTACCCTTCCAGTTTGATTTTCAGCCTTTCGTGGGGTACACTGTCGAAAGCCTTGGCAAACTCTAGGTAAATATTGTCGATATTACCACCCCGTTCTAGAATATGGGTCCAAATATCCAATACCTTGAGCAATTGTGTCAAGCAAGAGCGCCCCGGCATAAAACCGTGTTGGCAATCTTTTACAAGGTTGTTTCGTAGTAGATGTTCCATCGCTGCATCTCTGATAATACTCTCAAGTACTTTACATATTATGCTGGTCAGGCTCACCGGCCTATAGTTGTTCGTGGAGTGCCTATCGCCCTTCTTGAAGATAGGACTCACATAAGCCACTTTCCATTCACTGGGGACCATTTGTTCATCCAGGCATTTACAAAACAGAATCTTCAGGGGCTCTGCAAACTCGTTGCACAGCTCCCTTAGCACTCTAGGATGCACCATGTCAGGTCCAGGACTCTTATGGACCTTTAGCCTGGACAGTTTATTTCTAATACCCTCTTCTGTGAACACAATGTGGGTCAGTGCTGTGTCGAACCGTCTGTCCTCAAACGCAGGAAGGTCAGTTGCATCCTCTCTTGTGAACACTGAGGAAAAGAAGCTGTTCAATGCCTCAGCTTTATCCTGGTCAGAATCTGCATAACTACCATCTTCAAGCCTCAGGTCTGATACTCCTACTCGCGTTTTCAATTTCGACTTTGCATAGCGGTGAAACGCCTTTGGGTTTGACTTGACCTCGCGTGCAACCAGCCTTTGGAACTCCTTTTCAGCCCTCCTACACTCTATCTTTGCTTGGTTTCTGGCTCTTGCATACATCCTCCTGTCTTGCTCATCGTTTGACCCAACCCACGTCTTGAATTTCTGGGTTTCTTCTTAATTTTGTCGACCGCCGCATGGTTCATGTGTAGGGATCCCCTCGTATTCCTAGAAGCACTGGGTTTGGTCTTGGGTATATATTTATCGATCAAATGGGTCATTTTACTAGTTATGATATTCAGCGTAGTGTCTGCGTTCTTGTGCCTTAATAAGTCAGGCCAGTTGATACCCCTCATCTCTTCCCTCATCCCATTGTAATTTCCCTTGTAATATTTGCACCTTGGCCTGGCCTTATCTTGAACTAGGTAACAGTTAAATCTGAATGACAACACTGTATGGTGACTGGTGCCACCTGGGGCAAGGTGTTCCAGTTTGGCCACCATACCCTCCTCGTTTGTTATGATGAGGTCAAGTGGCTTGGGTGTTTGCTCCCCTCTGTAATGTGTCGGGTCCCTCACATGTTGGAACAGAAAATTATCTCTCAGAGTTTCTACAAAAAGAGTAGCTGGATTATTCAAGTCATTCGGGGTTGACTCGTTTCTCCAGTCGATGTCGCCATAGTTAAAGTCCCCCATGATAAGGAGCTCCTCCACATCTACCTCCTTCAACAAGCTACTCACCGCACGTCTCTACCAAGCAGCCCCTCACCACACAGCATCTCCAGCACCAGACTATCATATAACTTATATATTATACAAGAAAACCACATTAGAGTTTCCTTCCATCCTGAGTGCTAGACAACATTAATATCTCGATACCCCTACACTCGTGTGCCACTCTGAAGCGGGTAAGGGAGAAGGTGACTTCCGGGGAGGAGGATCAGGTGAGAGATGGGTCGGTTTATAAGTTTGTTTCTATTAATGGGGTGTTACACAGGTCTTGTGTTTCATCCAAGCGACCAGCTAAAGTAGGTCGGTTTTTACTTGTTGTCCCTGATGTTTGTCGTAGTAACATTCTCTCTGTAGCTCACAAGAGTTCTCTTGTAAGTCACTGTTCTCGTAGGAAAACTTATAGGAAGGTTGCTGATCAGTTTCACTGGCCAGGTATGGGAGCGGATATTAGAGCTTTTTGTAGGAGTTGTGATCAGTGCCCACGTATGTCCGCCAAGGGTAGAGTCCGTCCTGTTCCACTTGAACCCTTACCCATTGCAGAACCATCTTCTCGGGAAGCCATAGATTTTGTTGGACGGTTCTCGCCCCCTTCCTCTAAGCCTAAATTACATCAAGCTAATATGTTAAGGAAATATAATTGCAGGACCCACATTGCTCGTGTCCTTGACGACGTCCCCAAGCTGGAGTTAGTCGCGGCACTAACCTGCAAGAGTTACTGTGGAGTTCGGACGCCAGAGTCTGTTGATCTCGGTTGCCAGTTGCTGCCAACACCTGACGAGTTAGAAGAATCCTCTACGACTGGAAATAGGCCCAAACTTAAACTTGGACTGAAGTGGACTCCACGTGCAGTTCCTTGATACGGCCTTACGTTTTGGACATCAAGTTACCACCTATTCTTTTCTATGATGTTACGTGCCTGTAGAGCGCGGGAAGTCGCATAGCATGAGGCACATTTCATATAAGCTATTAATAAATTGTTAATTGTATTTATTATATTATTATTGTTCTTAGTTACTTAGGTTAATTGTATATTTATGTATGTTATTAATATGCATCATTGTCTTACTCTGTTAAGTTCAAATCAAGAGAGTATTAATTAATTTTATAAGATATCTAGCAAATGTCTGGATCACGTGAGATAAGACGCGCTTCTCACCGGCGTACCCACCAGAGTTGCCAACTTAGCGACTTTGTAGCTAGATCTAGAGCTTTTTGTTTTTTTCTAGCGACATTTTAGAGCGATATCCACAGAAGTCTAGCGACTTTCTGGATACTTTTGGACTGTCCATGAAAACTCGGTTTTCCTAATTTCGAGCCATAATATATAGCAACGGGGTTACAGGGACAATGCATTTGAACGGGTTGAACTCATAAAACAACTTCGTCAACGCTTACCTGACAACATTCGTGTGCTGCAGTCTATTTCTTTTCTGAGTGCCGATGAATGCTTGAAGCCTATTAAATCAGATATACTTGGTTTGGCACACTTGTTTACAGAAGATTCCAGCACCCTTACCAAGATTGATTTCCAGTGGAAAAAACTGCATCACACAATCTGGACAGAAACATCTAACACCCTAAAATTGTGGTCCGAAGTGGCAAATTACAGAGAT